TTAGCTCCGAAGGGACTCAGGAAATTGAGAGTGAGCAAAATTAAAAATGAGATGAGAGAGACAGGAGTTTGGGTGCCAAGAAACTCTCCCCAACCTCCAAGGCCTTGGGTTCTGGGGATTGGGCCAAGGGGACTTCATGCCGTTGTTTTATCTGCACTGAGCTGCCTAGCCCAGCCCAAACCGAGACTCTGCTGCATTCAAGACTGATTTCATTTGCTAAAATCCACTAGATTGAGTCATCAAGTACCTTGACTCACTTACTCATTTATTTTCAGCACCTATTCAAAGGGTAGGCATTTGCTAAAGCCAAGTGCCTGGAATTGCTCCCGGGATGGCTGGGTGGCAGGCGGGGCAATGGGAACAAACAGTTACAAGAAGTGGGAACAGAAGAACAGAACAGTACACAAGGGGGTGAGCCGGTGGCTTTTGAACAGAGCACATGGGGCGGACCAAGAGTGGGCACAGCATGGCACTCCAGACTGATGGAACAGCGTGTGCATTCCCTTGGAGGCACAGCCTGCAGCCTGCTGGGTCACGGAGAAACACGTCGCAGCCTGGCCAGCCCTGGGGGCCCAGGGAGGCCTGGCAGCAGACAGATGATGAAGGGCCTGGCCTTTATTCCATAGGCAATGGGGCGCCAGAGATGGAATTTAAGCAAAGAAGAGGCATGTCCTGATGTGTGTTTTGGAAAGACAGTCTTTTTGGAAAGAGGCAGGGAGAAAAATAAACTCAGACTAAGGGAGACCTGAAGCACATAGGCTTCTCCCATCACATACAAACTACTCTGTTTTAAAAGTCAATATTTTTGAATCCTCACCTGAGGATATTTTTCCATTGGTTTTTAGAGAGAGTGGAAGGGAGAGAGACAGAGAAACATTGATGTGAGAGAGACACATCGATTGGTTGCCTTCCCTCACGATCCAACCAGGGCTGGGGATCAAGCCTGCAACCTAGGTATGTCCCCATGACCGGCATCGAACCCGGGACCCTTCAGTCCCCGGGCCTATGCTCTTTCCACTGAGCCAAACCCACTAGGGCTTAAAAGTCAATATTAATAGTCAACCCCTATGCAGCACTTAGTGTGTCCAAGTCATCTCATCTTTTCAACAGTCTTTTGTAAAACAGGGATGAAAATTCCTATTGATTGGCTAATTGTGAAGACAAATGAACTGATGAAACAACTGCAAAGTAAGGCACAGAGCAGTGTCTGGCACCTGGCAGGTTCCAGTGCCTTGCTAGCCTGCATCAGCTCCAACATCTTCTTCCTTTGAGGTTTTGCATCAGCTTTGCAATACAGAGGACTGCGCCTTTACCACCAAAGGAGCAGCGTTTTTGGGTGGATCTTAGAGTGATTCTGACTCTCTCGGTATCATGCAGCTCTGAACGTGGAGGTTTCTGGAAGGCCAGTCTCCAGGGAGTGAAGGTTGGTTTTTTGGTAGTCATTACCCAAATGACCCTGTTCTTTCAAATGCCTGCTAAACCTTTGAAGGCAAAGTTTCATTTATTTGTATTAAATCATGAGCAAAAATAATAAATACACATTTAACTATAAAAATTCAAAAAATTTCAGGCAGAGTTTAAAGCTGTGATCATGTTAAAAATCATGACAGCACAGTTAATGTGATGCTTAAGGATGGATCTCTGTTCATTAGACATAAAGGCTCTCATCCCCATAAGTGGCAATAATGCCTGGGCAGGGCTGGAAGTGTCTCGGAGGCTGCTCTGGAGACGGGCCAGGTGGTCCTCTTTGATGTCCAAGGGAAGGGGTCTGGATGAGGAAGGCGGGAGCTCTGTGAGCTCCGGGTGCTTTAGAGAAATGACAGGGCAGAGCGCTTTCCCTTCAGAGCCTACCCGCATGCAGTCCTCAGCCTGAAGCCAACAGTTGGGGTCCTTCAGTCCTTGTCCAAAAAAGAAGTGTCACCCAGCACTGGAGGGGTCCCCCACTTCCTCCAGCCTCCAGCCTCCTGCCCTCCAGCGCTGGGCAGAGCCTTCCTGCCTGCCTGGGCGGTTCGGCCTTCCGCTTGGTGTCTCTTTTGTGGGTTTCATTCGTTTTCCTGTTTAATGCTTGCTGCCTTTCATTAAGTTTTATTGCAGCAGGGGCCTCTGGAGTTATTTCAGAGGCAGACAGTCATGACCGTGAGTGACAGCTCTCTCGGCCATGAGTCAGCCAAGCAGATATCAATCTGAATTCTGGGCTTCCAATCAAATATTCGGAAAAGGGCTCTGTACCCTTTGAAAGATGCAAAGTAAACAGAATCTCAGCCTGGGAAGCAAACGTACCTCAGATCATTTAAACAGAATTTCTAACGAGGACGGGAGAGTCAGTGGTTCCAACAACTTTAATGAGTGAGTTTTAGGCGAAAGCACAGAAAACAAATAGGATGGAATATCAAAGTTGTCCTTGTAACATCCAATTCCTATGAATCTACTCACACCCTGAGACTGTCTCAGCCTTTCAGCAATTATCAACTTCAAACTGTGTTGCCCTACAGTATGAAAGGTTTTCATCAATTGGTAAGAATGTATATCCATGTCCTTATAGTCCTTATAAGTGTTTGTTTTTCTTTCATATCATCAGTTCAGAGACACTCAATGCAACACTAAGAAAACATGCTTTCCCAGTAGAAAGAGATCACATTTCTTCTTCCTTCCAAATCATTTCACCACTCTGTATTTACATTTCTGATTCTTTGTTAAGTAGGTTTTAATCAGTGTCCTTTAAAACTTTGCTACACAAAGTATAATCCATAAACCAACAGCATCCACATCACATGGCAGCATGTCTGAAAACCAGATACTCCAGTCCTCTCCAGACCCACCCAACTAGAACTTGCACTCCCCAGGAGTCACACTGCAGTGAGAGACCTGCCTCAGAGACGGTATGAGCCCTGACCAGTGTTTCTCAGTGGTTAGAGCAGGGGTGGGCAAACTTTTTGACTCGAGGGCCATAACGGGTTCTTAAACTGGACCGGAGGGCCGGAACAAAAGCATGGATGGAGTGTTTGTGTGAACTAATATAAATTCAAAGTAAACATCATTACATAAAAGGATATGGTCTTTGTTTTTTTTAGTTTTATTCATTTCAAATGGACCGGATCCGGCCCGCGGGACGTAGTTTGCCCACGGCTGGGTTAGAGTGTCAGCCCACGCACACCGAAGGGTCTCTGATTGGATTCCCGAGCAAGGGCACGTACACCTGGGTTGCAGGTTCAATCCCCTGTCCCACTCGGGGTACGTGCATGAGGCAACCAATCGATGTGTCTCTCTCACAGCAATGTTTCTCTCTCTTTTCCTCTCCTTCCCTCTCTTCCACTCTCTCTAAAAATCAATGGGAAAAAAAAACATCATTGGGTGAGGATTAACAACAACAAAATGATGGTGTGAATCTGACAACTCTGTAATCTACAGAAAAGCAAATACTTTTGCAGTTAAAACTCAAATGCAACAGGACATCAGTGCGCACAAACAATAATACTGACACGGCAGCACGCTTACTCAGTGCAGACCTGTTACAGGGCCTTGCACAGAGTAGCTCCCGACTCTTCACTATGGACAGGAGGTAGGTACCATCCTCCTCAGCCTGTAGATAATGTACAGAGGCCCAGAGAGCTTACAGAACTTGGGCAAGACCACAAAGCAAACCAGCAGAAGAGGCAGGACTTGATTCAGGCAGTCTGACTTCAGAGGGCATGTTTTTAACCATTGCACCGTACCCCTCCCAACAGTGTGCACCTGCACCAGGAGACCAAGCAGTTCATTCAGGGTCTCAAAGAAAGAGCCAGCTACTTCAGGACCGTCATTTCAGTCTCAGCAACACTTAGAAGCAGAGGCCAGTTGAGCTGGACGCCACAAACTCTAATGGAACTCCCTCAGGGCTTATCTGAGGGAGGGGAGGCTGAGAGGGAGTGTGTGAAACCCAATGGTTTTTTCAAAGGAGTGAAAAAGTGGAGGCCAGACTCCACTATACTTCCCACCATGCTCCCTTCCTCGCCTACACAGATTTCTAATGCTTTGGGGGGTTGCTCTTCCAAAGATACCTCACACACATTAGATAGCAAACATAGCTTGTTCCTTTCTCAACTTTCATTCACAATCTGAGACTATCCAGATAAGTTATTCGTATCCTATTCGAAACCTCCTCACTATAAAAAGACTGCGGGGGAGGCCGTGCTTAGAAATCACACTTGAATAGCTCTAATACGGAGTACTGTAGCAATTTACCTTCCAGGTAGAATAGGAACCTTCAGATGTGATAGCCAATCAGTCCTCCAGCTTTTGAGCTTTAATTAAGGTAGAGTTTCAGTCTGGGCTCCAACTAGTCATTTACCTGCTCCGCTCCACCTACTACATTACAGATGAAAGGAGAGTGGCAGTCCGGGCCCACATTCTTGTGGCTGTGGGACTTGTGCCTCCTCATCTAAGATGCCTATTTTTAACCAAATGATGCTTTCCGCCAAAGGTTAGCATCCCACAGGGCTTCTCTCAGGCCCAGAATGTTTGCAGAATGTGTGGCTGGGAGTTCCTGGGACAGACTTCAGAAGGCCAAAGGGGCTAAAAACTCTTCCTGTTTAAAGTACAACTTCTGTTGTAAAGGGCAGGAGACAACTTTCATTTGGAAGCCAGCCCCATCTGGTGAGAGGCAAGATAAAATACAAGCCCTTAAAATGCCACCTTCAGGGCCGATCCAGCAATGGCTGTTCCATAACCTCCACGCCGGAGGGAGGAAGGGGTTCCGGACGCAATGAGCACAGATCAGTGTCCCCTTTGAAGCAAGTAGGTAAACATAAATCACTGAGTAATTGAATACCAGAGTGAGACATGGTGATTCCCAAAGATAAAAAACACAGAGCGGACCAAACAGTCCCATCTCCTCCCACTTCTCCCCGAGCTTATGTTCGGGGGCCTCTGGGCTGGGGGGGGAGGTAGCAGCCCACAGCCTGGCAGTCAGAGCTCAAACAGCCCAAGCACCCACCCCGATGCCTCAGTCCGGGGACACTTACCTTGCACTGCCCAGACACACAGATGGCCGAGCCGTTCTGGTCGCAGGGGGTGCCATCAATGACCTTCTCAGCTTGGCGTACATAGAAGCGATAGCCCATTGCCTGGCAGTTCAACTCACACTTCCGATTGCCCTTTACTACAAAAAAACAACAAGCAGCATCTTTTTTTCCCCTTGTATTTTTTATTGAGATACAATTCACATTACATAAAATTAACCATTTTAACCAAATTGTAAAACTCATCTTTTTTTTGTACGTTCACAATATTGTTCAACCATGACCACTAATTCCAGAACATTTCCATCGCCCCACCAATCTATTTTCTGTTTCTATGGATTTGCCTATGCTGGATGTTTTATAACCACATACTTTAAAATTGCATGAGTACTATTAGATCTCTCATATTTGATGGCAGAGGACAGGCATTGCAGTCTGATCTGCTGGCATATAATAGAGATTTGATGCTGAGTGAGTATTAGAAAGGAATTCTTAAAGAATTCAAATCTACCATGCAAATAGTAGATTCTACTTTTAGACATCCTCTCATTCGTTGCTATACTCATAATTACAATTTATATATCAACAATCATAGAGAGTACACAATTTTATTGTTCTGCTATTGTTTTAACTTAAACTCAATGTAGTTATACCATATTTATGTTCTTTCGGCTGGGGATTCCTATAATAATTCCTCCATGATGAAATATTTTAGTGATTTCCCCATTACCTTAGGTCAGTGGTCGGCAAACTGCGGCTCGCAAGCCACATTTGGCTCTTTGACCCCTTGAGTGTGGCTCTGCCTAAGCCTTAGGAGTACCCTAATTAAGTAATAACAATGTACCTACCTACATAGTTTAAGTTTAAACAATTTGGCTCTCAAAAGAAATTTCAATCATTGTACTGTTGATATTTGGCTCTGTTGACTAATGAGTTTGCCAACCACTGCCTTAGGTTGAAGTCCAAACTCCTAAGAAAGGAATTAAACATCTTTCAAATATAAATAGTCCTATTTCCAACTGTTCTCCCTTAAATCCATGTTCTGTACAACTAAGCGCGTCCTCTGTCCGGCCACTGCTTCGCTGCTCCTTCTGCCGCTGCCTCACTTGTTTAGCACCGCATCTACTGTGTTTTAGTTCCCAGATCACCTCCTCCGGGAAGCTGCCCCTGGACCCTGATCTCACCTATACATCCACCCACCACAGACTGTTCTGACCTTTTCTGCTTCAGGGTTAACCAAGCTTGATTGAAGCATGGTCTTGAGGGACAACAGGGATGTGTCTGTCTTATTTACTTTTGTATCCTCAGCACTCAGTCCAGACCTGGGCACACAGAAAATGCTCAACAAATCCCTGAGGGCCCGGCCGGCGTGGCTCAGTGGTTGAACGTCAACCTATGAACCAGGAGGTCACGGTTCAATTCCTTGTCAGGGCACATGCCCGGGTTGCAGGCTCAATCCCCCAGCCAATCAATGATTCTCTCTCATCATTGATGTTTCTATCTCTCCCTTTCCCCTCCTCTCTGAAAATCAATAAAAATATATTTAAAACAAAACAAAACACAAACAAATCTCTGAGGAATAAAAGGAGGGATGGATAAATGAATATTGGCTTTTCCCCCCTTTGTCTTTCTCTCTGTATTCACCTACCTCTGGGATCACTTCACACGAAGCCTGACACACAGTAGGTGCTCAGTAAAGGTTAAATTAATCACCACTACAACTAATATCTCCAGGGCAATTTCGTTGCCTTCAAAATAAGACCGAGAAAAAATTTTAGGCAAGATATACATTCATATCTAAAAGAGACAGACAAGCCAAGTACACAATGATTTTTTAAAAAACTGTTTTTGGATTCATGAAAATGCTATCCGCAGGCATAGACAGCATGTTCCAGGGCCATGCCTTTGTCTGAAAATCTGATTGCTGGATTGGGTAATACTGACTTTTTCCTACACAAGAAGATACATCATATTTTCCCCAGTGTGACTGCCTGATTATCATAGCAATGAACTTCCTTGTCCTCCACAGCCATTTAAACCGCTACCCGGAAATAACATGGAGCCTCCGGGTCCACAGGGCTTAGGGAAGACTGAATCTTCTATATACCCTAAGCTCTATCTCAGAAGCCAAGAGACCTGGTTTCTTACCCTGGCTGTCCAAAAGTTGTAAGAGATGACCTTGCAAAACAAAAAACAAACAAAAAAAAAAACAAAAAAAAAATCAAAAAAACACAGAATCAGGTACCTTTGGGAATTATCTAAAACTAAAACATCATTTTATATTAAAAACCAAACCACAATAGCCCTAAACAAATGAAGTGACAGGTAGGAGGTAAAACTAGTCTCCTACAACTTGCTTTCTCATGTCTGCTATCTCTATCCAGACCACGCTTCCTCTCTCCCCACTCCTCACTTTCTGAAGTGACAGCAGGAAGTATCCAGGTGACTGCATTTTAAGTAATAAGTGTCTGAAAGGCAGCCTCATATGGGGCAAGGGTTTTGAGTTCTCACCTCTCTCTTGGCTTCCTCCCAACAACCTCTATCCTTTGCAGCCCAATTTTATTTCTCAATATTTACAACCATACCACAGAAGAACATTCTGAGAACAATAACAACAACAAAAATGGTTAAAGGTGAGGTAATTGTGGCAGCATCTCCAAATGGCTACATGAAAATAACCCAGAGGGACGGCCTTAAGTTTGGGCTCCTATCTGTGGCCCAAAGGAGACACTCAGTCCGACCCTCTGCCTAAGTGACTTAGTGCCCCTGCCTTCTCAGACGTGCAACAAGGGGACGGGGGACCCTAGGAGATAACAAAGTGTGCACAGTGTCTCCCGAATGAAACTGCCCAGAACCTGTTGCCTTAGCAACACTCAACCAGTACTTCTCATAAAGTTACACAAGGACTGACTTCTCCAGACCCTGCACATACTCCCCAACCACTTTAACATTTCACATAAAACTACATTTGCAGAGCTTCAGTTAAAGGTTTTTCATGGAGTGTCACTTCATTCCCTTTTTTCCCTTGAATACAGTTATAATTCTGATGCCAGGAGCTGTTTCTCTAAGCACTTTAAAAAAAAAAGATATCAGAGAGGAACAGAGAGAGATAGAAACATTGATCAGATGAGAGAGAATCACTGATCAGCTGTCTCCTGCACGCCCCACACTGGGGATGGAGGCTGCAACCCGGGCATGTGCCCTGACCAGGAATCGTGACCTCCTGATTCATAGGTCGATGCTCAACCTCTAAGCTAATTCTGCCATGGTTTTATTTTGCCATGGTTTTGTCATGGATAAAACAGAAGTGTGGCCACAAGCTGGGTGCAATGGGAAAGAGCAAGTGGGCACATCCTTTTCCTCCCTGTTTATCTCCCTCTTATTCCTCTCCCTCTCTGTTCTCATCTGCTTCCTAAGTGTCCTCCCCACCCCCAAGGGAGCACCTTTAACTTTCACACACTCAAGTAGTGATCCCCAGTGTGGGCCCAGGACCAGAGGCAGCAGCATCACCTGAAAGCCTGTTGAAAATACAAATTCTTGGGCCTCACCTCCAACTTCTAAATCGGAAGCTCTGGGGATGATGCTGGGTGACCTGCGTTTTAACAAACTCTCCAGGTGATTCTGGTGCTTAGTCAAGTTTGGGAGTCACTGTCCCAAGAAAAACCAAGTAGTGAAAAGATTTGGAAGTAGCTAATCATTCTTATTTTGAATCCATAATGTTCAAATTCCACATCTAAATTTAAAAGATAATGTAAGCACCATCTTTAATTAACTTTAGGATATTGCCAAATATCTGGATCCCTGATAATAAAAAAGATCTCTGGTTATTTTTTAAATGCTGGAGAATATACAAGAAAATTCAGTTACTTAGAATAAAGTAGCTAACAGCTAAAGGGTTTCCCTCAAATAGAGATTAAATATTTAAACTACTCATTGAGCTCTGTTCTTTTGGAAAAACCACTGAGTAAAGACACTTTTTTTTTTTAGTGATAAATACAAAGAAAATAGAAAAGGAGTGAACAGTTACAAAATTTTGGAAGGTGGAAGTAGAAAAACCCACAGTAATGACTCAGCAAACCCAACCAAACTAATCCTAGGCAGGAATTGAAGCACCAGAACTACCTCATGATACCTATATGATAGCATTTCTAAACATCAACTTTGGTATTAAAGGAGAATGTGGGCCTAAAAACAGAAATTGTAGGGGTGTTTAAGAGGCAGTTCAGAGGTCCCACTTTCCAGAATGGTTGACTAAAGCCTCTGAAAATGGACTTTGTCATAAAAGCAATGAGAACACTGGCAAAAAGCAGCTGAAGTGGCTACTAATAATAGATAAAATAGACTTTAAGACAAAAATTTTTATTAAAGACATATAAGAGCATTTTATAATGATAAAGTGTCAATCTGTCAGGAAGCCAACAATAGAGGCCCAAAATACATGAAGCTAAATCTGGACAGAAGTGAAAGGAGAACTAGATAATTTAATAATAAAGGTTGGAAATGTGGATACCACACTTCCAATAATGGATAGAACTAGACAGAAGATCAACAAAGAAATAGAAGACTTAAACAACACTATAAATCAATTACACCTAATAGACATAGATAGGACATGCCACCCAACAGTAGCACAATTCATATTCTTCTCAAGTACACGAAACATTTTCCAGAAGGGAACAAATGTTAGGTCATAAAACAAGCCTCAATAAATTCAAAAAAAAATGAAATCACACAAAATATGCTCACTAACCACAATGGAATGAAATTAGAAAATCAATTAAAAAAACAAATTTGGGGATTTCAAAAACATGTAGAAATTAAACAAAATACTTATAAATAACTGATCAGGGGGAAAAGCACAGAAAAATTAGAAAATACTTTGAGATTAATAAAATAAAAACGCAACATCCCAACTTATGGGATGCAATTATGTAAGTATTTAGATGGAAATTTATAGCTGTAAACACCTATGTTAAAAAAGATCTCAAATCAAATAACCTAATATGCCACCTTAAGTAGTGGAGGTAGGGGGAGAGCAAATTAAACCCAAAGCCAAAGGAAGGGTGTAAATAAATTAAACAGAGAAGGGACAGACAATAGAGAAAATCAATGAAACCAAAAGTTGGTTCTTTGAAAATAT